CACACACACACACACACACTTTGGAAAAATAAAAACATCTTCACTAAAACAAAGAAAAATAAACATAACTTTTGCATCTTGTGAGTCTTAAAATGAGATAAATAAAGTCTAAAATATTGAATTGTTGTAGGATGCAGAGGTTTTGAATGCATCACTTAARTTATTAATGTTTGTAATTTGAATTATTTTATTTTCTTTTTTCAGGAGAAATAGACACAAGGTTTTCTTTCTGTGCTGTTGCTACGTTAGCATTATTGGTACGTATGAGTCCCGTTTTATCCCAAACAGAAAAGTTTAGAGCTGACAGTAAGGCAGATGAAAACAACGACTCAACAGTTAAAAAGTTGTCTCATTCAGCTGCACGTTCATTTAGTTTGATTTAATAAAATAAAGACCAAATAAAAACACAACAGCTGCTGATTTAAACAATGAGCTGAGAAGGTGACCGAAGATGACTCCGACTCTTCGTCGGTCTCTTCTCAGGGGAAGATGGACTCGATAAACGTGGACAAAGCCGTGGAGTTCGTCTTGTCATGTATGAACTTTGATGGAGGTTTTGGCTGCAGACCAGGTTCAGAGTCTCACGCTGGTCAGGTGAGTTCAGACGTGCTGATTTATTTATTTTTTTGTTGTTGGGTAAATGCAGATTTTTTTTCTTCAAATTAAATTAAACATGTCGCCTGCTGTTGTTTATCTTCTAACCTCTTGTTGTTTTTCCCATCCCGTCCCTCAGATCTACTGCTGCACCGGCTTCCTGTCRCTCACCGGCCAGCTGCACCAGCTGAACGCCGACCTGCTGGGCTGGTGGCTCTGTGAGAGGCAGCTGCCCTCCGGAGGCCTCAACGGACGACCCGAGAAGGTTTTGTCTCGTTTCTACTCGTGTTGTAAACATGAGGCGGTTATCTGAACATRAAGCTTTAACTGCGCTGCCGTCTCACTCAGCTCCCAGATGTTTGCTACTCGTGGTGGGTCCTGGCGTCCCTGAAGATCATCGGCAGGATCCACTGGATCGACAAAGCCAAGCTGAGGAGGTTCATTCTGGCCTGTCAGGACGAGGAGACGGGCGGCTTTGCTGACAGACCAGGAGACATGGTGAGACTTAAAGTGCCTCCGACATGCACAGGCTTCAAATACAAGTAAAAAAACATCTTTATGTAAAAGAAATTTGGCATAATACACGATTTTACTGATTAGCACATTTTCTATTGAGCTTGGCTCAGCCGAAACGAAACAGGAAGTGACATCAAAGGGAACTCTTCAAGAAAAGGAACTTTGTGTTTTTTGTTTATTGAAACAATTTGAACTCTGATTTTGCGTCTCTCTTCTCCACAGTCTGTGTTGTTGGCTGTTGTAGCAACACTATTTGCATGCAGGCATTCCCCTTTGACATCACTTCCTGTTACTTCACATACAAATATCTCAACAGCTGTTCATCTCAGCAGTGTGATTTTTTTCCAACATGTTATCAATGTTTTCTTTCACAAAATACACTCATATTTGTTACAAAACTTTGATGTCATGGGCACTTTAAAACCTCCATCTTCTTATAAAGCCTGCAGAGACCTGATGTTTGGGTGTGAGGAGCTGCCTCAAGTAGAGTTTAAGTGTCTCTGGGTTTAGAGGACCTAGTTTTTTTTTTAAATTAATATTTACTGTTTCCGTCCTGCAGGTGGATCCGTTCCACACTCTGTTTGGAATCGCAGGTCTGTCCCTGCTGGGCGACGAACAGATTAAAGCGGTGAATCCGGTCCTCTGCATGCCCGAGGACGTCCTGCAGAGGATCGGCCTGCAGCCCGACCTCCTCAGCTAGCCTCTCTGATGCGCCCCAGATGTCACAAACTCACAAACGCCGCTGCTCCGCCGCCTCTCAGCCGGGGCGAAGGAACGAGGACCACAACACATCTGAGATTCTGGAGGAGAAACGCAGAGAGAACTTCYGTCTTAATCTTCAGCACATCCACTCTGTTTTCTGGTTTCCATCGCAGCTGCAGCTCAACTTCAAAGACATCTCTTATTGTKTGTGTTTATTTGTTTGTTGTCAAAACATCTCATGAACCACTGGATGGATTAATATAGCTGATTAATATTTGGAGTCGGCTCGATCCAAGATGGCCGCCTTGTGTTTGAGTCTGATTTACAACCAAACCGTAGCTCAGTATCTGCAGAACTGAGTTGTGTTTTGCTGTCGGTTGTGGCGGCCATCTTTTCTGACAGTTTTGCTCATGAGGTATTGTGGCAAAAAAATTAGACGTTTTGGCACCTGACCCTCCTGACAGACTGTCGGCGCAGCTGCTGTTCAACATAAAGCAGCTCGCTGTTATGAAACATAAGAGTGTGAAGGACACCGGAGCAGTCGCACCATCATAACGAGCCTCAGCTTGGGGTAAAACCACAACAAAGACCAGGTTTGTGTCTCTACATCCGGATCATTCAGCGATGGACTCAGAACAGTAAACAATAATAAACAGTATTTATGATCTGCTGCCGCTCTGAAACATGGAGAAGTACTTCCATGTATTTAGTGTAAACACGTGTGGGAAACAACTCATAACTCTACATTGTTTATATAATTAACATTCTTGCTGACAAATAGATTGTTTTTAATTTATTTGATGTTACATAAAGAGTAAATGGATAAAGTTCTAGTTTGAAGTCTTCAATTTAAAATAGGGGAAAAAAAACTTTACAGTTTGTCAAGGTGAGGTCTGTTTTCTCCTCAGTAATGAGGGCGTTGCTCCGGTCAGTTGTGGAGAAGAAAGCGTTGTCAGAAGGTAAAGCTCTTAACTTCCTGGTCTATCTCTGTTCTAACCTTCAGGTGTGATCATGAGTCATGACTGAAAGAACCAGATCCTGGATACAAACTGGTGAAATGAGCTTTTATATACAGTATGTGCTGTTTTAGTTACAATGATGAACATATACAATAATAATTACATATTTAAGAACAATCAGACCAAATTATGTACAATAGAGTATATCAGTGCAGGAAAAAAAGTTACTGTTGTACTGTATAATTTTAGCTTTTAGCTACTGTCTTATGCTAGCTTTTAGCTATTGTTTTGTTATGTTCAGTTATTACTAAATGGCAACGTGTAGTTCCTGTTTCTACTTTTTAACAAATTTTAGCTGTTAACTATCATCTTGCATTTAGTTTTAGACAACTTTTTAAATAAATTTAGCTTGCATTTAGCTTTAGGCAACTTTTTAAATAATTTAAGCTTTTAGCCATCAGCATTTAGCGTTAGGCTACCTTTTAACTAATTTTAGCTTTTAGCTATCAACTTTGCATTTACCTTTAGGCTGCTTTTTAATTATTTTTAGCTTTTAGCTATCAGCTTTGCATTTAGCTTTAGGCTACTTTTTAACAAATTTCAGCTGTTAACTGTCATCTTGCATTTAGTTTTAGATAACTTTAAATAATTTTAGCTGTTAACTATCATCTTTTTGCATTTAGCGTTAGGCTACTTTTTAACTAATTTTAGCTTTTAGCTATCAACTTAGCATTTAGCTTTAGGCTACTTTTTAACTAGTTTTAGCTTTTAGCTATCAACTTTGCATTTAGCTTTAGGCTACTTTTTAACTAATTTTAGCTGTTAGCTATCAACTTAGCATTTAGCTTTAGGCTACTTTTTAACTAATTTTAGCTTTTTACTATCAACTTAGCATTTAGCTTTAGGC